ATGTCGCCCACCGTCAAGACACCGACGATGACCTGGTTGACCCCCTCGGACTGAGTGGCAGCATTGACGACGCTCCGCCGACACCCCACGCTGCCGACCATGCCGCCCTATTGAGACGCCACCCTACTACGCGGCCGACCTCAGAGCCCTCGCATGGCATCATGATTGGTCCTACCGTGCCAACCACTCCGCCCCCCCACCAGCGCCAGCCCGCGGGGGCGGCTTCAGCCCCCCCGCAGGGCACCGAGCCAGTCAGGCCGTCGCACCCCGTCCATGCTCCCATTGTTGCTGGGCGAGAGGATGCGGCTCTTCCGACCTCACGGGGCGTGGCCCTAGCGGCTCCAGCCCTGGGGCCGCGTGTTACCCTCCAGTCACCTCTCAAGGGTGACGGCCGTCAGCACACGGGGTGCCGTACTACGCTAGTCCACCACCTGGCCAGGCGCACCGACCTCGTCCCTGCCACGAGGCCCGCGGCCGCTGGCACTGAGCAGCCGCCCCTCACCGACCGCGAAACCGAGCTGTCCCAGGCTATGGCCGCTCTTCAGCAGAGGTGTGCTGCTCTCGCCGCGGACCTCGCCGCTGCTCAAGCCCGTCAAGGCCCTTTGCTCCAGCGCCTCCACAGCGCCGGGCGAGCCTTCGCCGAGCTGCTGACGCCCTCGTCCGATGGTGCCGTGCCGTCACTCCCTATCCAAGCTATGCTGTCATCGCTCCGCGGCGTTCCACCTGGTGCCCCGCGCTAATTTCCTCCTTTCTGCCTGCCCGTGAGTACGCGTGGCTCCGCGTCCACGGTGTCAGGGCGTGGGGGCGGGGGGTGCCCCGTCCCTGCGCGCCGCTTTGCGGCCAAGCGCCCAACTGGCGGTCTGCCAAGCCGCCTAGCCACGTGTCAGCACGTCGCCTTCCTTGTTGGGGCCTCTTTCTTCACGCGGTCTGACAGGTGAGATCTTCACCGTCTGTCCGCCGTCTGTAGCGTCTGTCGCACTGCGCCGGGGGAGGGGGTTTTTGTTGCCCGCCCTCGTATCTAAAGGCTGCACCGCCGCTAATAGTGCTTGGCGAGTTGTCGCACCGCAGTGCGCCTCGCGGACGGACCCTGGTCCGCCTACTTGTCCGCTCTCTCTTTCTCTCTCTCTCTCTCTCTCTCTCTTTATCTCTCTCTCTCTCTCTCTCTCTCTTTTTCTTTCTCTCTCTCTCTCTCTCTCTCTTCTCTCTCTCTTTTTTTTTCTCTCTCTCTCTCTTCTCTCTCTCTCTACTCTCTCTCGTCTCTCTCTCTTCTCCTCTCTCTCTCTCTCTTTCTCTTCTTCTTCTCTCTCTCTCTCTCTCCTCTCTCTCTCTCTCTCTCTCTCTCTCTCTCTGGTCCTCTTGCTCGTCGTGCTCCCTTCTCCGCCTCTGCCCCCCCCCCCCCCCACACACACGCACCCCCATCCCCGCTGGAGGCGCCCCGGAAAGGCGGGCGCGGTGGGCGGATCGAGGCGCAGTGGCGAAGCCGCCGGTGCATCTTCACCGTCGGCGTGGTGAGAATCTGTCTCCATCGAGCTGCGCTGGCGATGCGTTCGCGAAGCGGCGCGAGCCTCCGACGCCATCTGGCTTGCATTTCGCTTCTGGGATTTCCTGGTTTCCTCCCGCGATCCCGCCTCCTGCTGCTGCTCCTGGACCCGGATGTCTCCGCATGGGTCCCTGGGTGCCGCTTCGATTCTCCGCGATCCTCGGTCTTCCCTCCACCTGTCGATCTCCCTCCTCCACTTCCATTTCTCTGGTTCCCGATCATCGTCGATCGTCGACCTGCCTCCCCGAATATCGACCTCCGATCGATCCTCATCGTTCGGTCCTCGATCGACGCCGCCCCGACATGCAAGCACCGTGCGTGCGTCGGCCCACCCAGTAGCGACGTGAGCGCCGGTACATGTTATATGAGATTACGTAGCACCCCGCAGTTGCGGATAAAAAGTGACGGGGGCGGCGGGGGCGTCGGCAATCTGCGAGGCTCTGAAGAAGGCCGCCGCAGGCGTCGCAGGTCGTGCAGCGAGCTCGCCGCAGGCGCCGATGTTTTCGTTAACGCAATGTGGGTAGGTCGCGGGGTGGGTCGCGGGTGGGTCGCGGGTGGGTCGCGGGCCGGGTCGCGGGCGCGTCGCGGGCGGGTCGCGGGCGGGTCGCGGATGCGTCGCGGGGGTGGGTCGCGGATGGGTCGCGGGTGGGCCGCGGACGGGTCGAGGAGGAGGGGGAAGAGGAAACATAAGAGGAAATAGTGGAGGAGGCGGAGGAGGCGGAGGACGAGTTGGCCTTTCGCAGCGGAGTCCATGTGTGCCAAGTGTGCGGGGCCACGGGTATGGGAGGTAAAAGCGTTGAGTTGGGCACGGTTTGCCGACCTGACCGCGTTGGTTCTTGGGGTCGTAGGATGGTCCGCAGTGGTTTTCCAGTGGGGGCCCGCCTGCCCCAGGAAAGCAAGAGTCGGTTGTCTGGCCTGGCCGGAACCGACGGCCGCGGTCTAAGGTGTTCGGTTTCGGCGTGCTCGTTCTTGGGGATCTCGCGCTGTAGCTCTGGACGTGCAAGAGGAGGGGGTGGGTGGGGGAGGACGAGGGGGCGCGGGCGTCGCTGCGTTTTTCCGAGTCACTACTGACCGCCCTGGAAAAGTTTCACACGAAGGCGGAGGAGAAAGACCTACCGATACTCGATGGCTTGGAAAAAGGGCCCCTGACAGCCTCGGCTGTCGCCTGCGAGGCGGCCTCGCGGCTGCCGCGCCACAGGCGCCTGCGGGTTTGCATGCTATCGTGCCGGAACAGCCTTGCAATGATGATTTCGTCGACAACGTTAGCCATGTTGATTCCGTATCGCATAGGGAAAATATAAGTAATAAGGTGTGTGGAATAGGACATTTCGTTCATGAAACATAATGTTCGTATAGGATAACCCTGAGGCTCGTTTCCGGCTTTCTTTTGGGGATCCTGCTAAAAGAAACGCGACATGTCATATCGAACGCAATTTTGTAGGGATCTGCGATAGAATCCTGGATCCTGCTAAAAAAGCGCGGAGATTTGTAGGATTCCGGCTTTCCGGCTTTCTTTTGTTATAAAAATACATACATACATACATACATACATACATACATACATACATACATACATACATTACATACATATACACATAAACACAGCAACTATACAAATATGTGAGTATACATATATATATATATGACATAAGTATACATATGTGTATATACATACATAGATGTATGTATATATATACATATGTGTGTGAGTGTGTGCGTGCGTATGTTTAGGTATCGGATGACATTCGCTCCTCGCAGCTCCTCGATCCCCCCTGGCGCTTGGCTCTCAGCGCCGCTCCCCCTGGCGGCCCTCGGGTCCGCCCTTCCATATGCCCGCGGCCGTGCTGGCCGCCGTCGTCGCGGCGCTGGCTGTCTGGTGCCGCGCTGCGCGCATGGGGGGGCGCGCGCGGCCAGCGTCAGATGGCCAAATCCAGCCGTGGCGACGATAGTTCGGACCAGGTGTTCGGAAGGGGTCCAGCCGTGGCGACGATTCGAGATGCGCGCTCCGACCAAAAATTCGAAAATGATCCAGCCGCGGCGACGATTTGAGATGCGCGTTCAGACTAGGATACTTGATCCAGTGGGATCCAACCGTGGCGACGAATCGATGAGCGCGTTTAGGCTTCGGAGGGCGCCCAGCCGCGGCGACGATGCGAAATGCGCGTTGAGATCGGATCGGATTGGGCCCAGCCGTGCAGACGAACCGAACGGAGTGAAACAACGCATGAGCATAAACGCTTGGATGTCCGCTCGGATTGCTTGTTTCGGCGCTCGCCGTGCATCCCAGTCAGCCGTGCAACGTGACAAATGGGGTCTGTCATATGACAGACCCGTCTGTCATATGACAGACCCGTCTGTCATATGACAGACCCGTCTGTCATATGACAGACTGTCGGCGCGTCGCGCGCCGCACTGAGAAATCCGAGCTGACCTCCGAACGTTTATGTTCATGCCATTATCGTGGTACGCGTGCGGATCGCCCAACCCCTCTCGGAGAAATAAAAGAAGCCATGATAAGTGGTTGAAGAAGGCGAACATCCAGAAACTATAGAACATATGGGGAATATTGGGAGGTGTGTGTTCATGTGTGTGCCCCTGGGCCCGCTCGCACCATTCCACAAAAGGCTCCGCGAGGGCCGCGAGGCGCTCTGTGGGCTCCTGGGGGGGGTATCCTGAGCCCACCGCGCTCCCCATCCACGTTCACGCCGCTCGTTGAAAGTATCTCTGTTTGGACCTTAAGATCCCAATACATGTCACGTGTCGTATTACTTTTAATATCGAGATGGTGTGGTTGTCATTGTTATTGTTGCGTGTGATCAGCCTTTATACTTCATGTGTCCACCTTTCTACTTTCATGTGTCTACCTACCTATTCTTATTGCTGGTGGGTACGTACCCTCCCCCTGGGCCTCGTCCGCACCATCCCCCTCGTTCGGTCCCGCGGGAATGCCGTGGCGCGAAATCGCAGTCGAAGATGGGGTCCAGGCGCCCGAGGAACTACCAGGGGTGAGGGTTTGTCAGCCCGCGCTGCGAGGGCCAGCCACTACCATACTGCCTGACATCGTCCAAGGCGGCGGAATGCAACGCCCACGTCGCAGTGCACTCACAATTCGCGCGGCGGCCGCGACACCCTGGATTGCACGGCCCGACTGGTCAGTATCCGATGCCACCGCCGTGCAAAATGAAAAGGCCGCATTGTAGTGGATGACTCTCGCAGCGCGGGGTTGGCTAACCCCCTCATATGGGGCCAAGAAGCCCAGGAGATATCCAGGGGTGCACCCCTGGAAATATCCTGGGCTTCTTGATCCCATCTTCGTCGATTTCGCGACGTCGCATTCCCGCGGGACCGAATGCCAGTCCTGGGCTCAGGGGTGGCATTGGATAAGCACTGAGATGCCCACGGCGCAATGCACTCGCAATTGGCACATCGGCCGCGACACCCTGGATTACACGGCCCGACGTTTCGACATTCGATGCCGCCGCCTCGTTATCCAATGCCACCGCTGAGCTCAGGACTGCAAGTCTCTGATATTGCTAGGCGCCTCGACCGAGCGATATCTCCAGCGGTCTGCAACCGCTCCTCGGGCCGCCCGCGCATCTCGCACGGCTACGGCCTATGCACCTACGAGTCTGCGACCCAGCCGCCGCCGTCGCCAGGCCCTTCACTCACCGCCGTCAGCAGGCCCGTCAGCGGGCCCGTCAGCAGGCCCGTCATCAGGCCCGTCATCAGGCCCGTCAGCAGGCCCGCCAGCAGGCCCGTCAGCAGCAGGCCCGTCAGCAGCAGGTCCGTCAGCAGCACGCCCGTCATCAGCAGGCCCGTCAGCAGCGCCGTCAGCAGGCCCCTCGGCATGCCCATCATCAGGCCCGTCAGCAGGCCCATCATCAGCAGGCCCGTCGCGCGCCGCCTTGGCGATCGCCCTCACGGCCTTCATGTCCTCATCCGAGACCTTGGCGGGGTCGTTGACAGATCCGACGATGTCCATCACCTGCGTCCTAATCATGTCGATGATCGTCGTAGCCCGCTCACGTGCGTTCTCGCCGCCGACCTCGAGAATCTGTTTCTTCTTGGGGCGGCCCAGGGCTCTCATGAATACGGCGACCTTGCCGTTGTGGCCGTTCGCAAGGATGAGCTCAATCTGCGTGTCATCCTCAGGGGTGCGGTGGATTTACAGCCTCCTTCGCCCCCCATCCCTCGCTCTCTTGCACTCCTCCCTCGCTCCATGTCCCTCCCTCCTCCGCCCCTCGCTTCCCGTCTTTCACTCCCCTCCATTTACTCACCGTCCCTCACTCCTCCACCCTGTCCCTACATCCCTCATGCCTCCTTTCCCCCACGACCCACTTTCCCCCTCGTTAGTCACGAGGGGGCGAGGGCGGTGCCGGGCGCGGGGCCCCCCAGAGCGCGGGGGCGCGCAGGAGAGAGAGGATCTGGAGGACGAGGATGAAGAGGGGGGACGAGGATGATGACGAGGAGAGCGATGAGTACGGGGAGGGATATGATGCGGAGGAGGCGGACACGAGGAGGATGTTTGGTTTGCGACGCGTCCTCCGCGGCGCCATCGGCTGGTTCTCCTGCTGCATCGGCTGCACCTGCTGCTGGTGCTGGTACTGCACCCGCTGCGTCGCCTGGTACTGCACCCGCTGCTGGTGGTGGTGCTGCTGCTGCTGCTGCCGCTGGCTTGGACATCATCGCTGGCCTCTTCGATGCGGCAGCCTTCTTGCCAGCCTTGCCAGCCGGCTTCTTGCTGACGGGCTTCGACGGCTGCACATCCTCTGCCTCCTCTGCCTCCGCTGCATCTGCTTCCTCATCTTCGGGAGCTTCGGCCGCGTCCTCATGCTCCTCCTCATCCTCCTCCTCCTCATCATCCTCGCCCTGGGCATCTGCCTCGTCACCTTCGCTGTCGTCCTCGCCCGCCTTGCGCTTCTTGAGCTGCACCTTCCCTTTGGCCTTGGCCTTGCCTTTGGCCTTCGCCTTTGCCTTCGCCTTCCCTTTGGCACTGGTGGCCTTCCCTTTGGCCTTGCTCTTGCCCGCGGGCTTCGGCTGCGCCTTGGGGGGGGGCGCTTGAGCTTCCCGTCGTCTCCGAGCCAGTCGGCCGACAGCTCCGACTCCCACGAGTACGGCTCGCCGTCGGCGCCCTTCACGGAGTCCCACACGCCCATCACGAAGCCGTCACCACTCACGCGAAACCATTCAGCTTCTCTGGCCGAGCCGTTGGAGAGCACGAGCTGGATGGCACGGCCATCGAAGTGGCAGAAGATCGGATGATTGTCCTCGTCGTCATCGTCGCCGTCGGAGTCCAGGACCGACGAGCTCCCGAAGCCGACGCCCGTCTGAGGAGGGCTTGTGAACAGCTCGGGAACCCTGTAGTTGATGAACGGGTTCTGGACTGGCTCCTGCTGCGCTGCTGATCTGCTGGGCTTGGCGGGCGGCGACGGCGAGGGCCTCGAGATCAGCGACAGCATCGACCTCAGCTCGGGCTGCGCTTTCTCGATCGCAGTGCTGGTGAGCTCCTCGGATTACGCAAACTATCCGCACGGCGCGCAGGGCGACAGACGACGTCTGTCATATGACAAACGGAACTGTCATATGACAGACGTTGTCTGTCACCCTGCGCGCTGGCAAGTCGATCAGACACGGCGCGATCGGCCGCGATATCGCACCCGCTCCTTCTTCTTGATCCTCAGGTGCGACAACATGACGCGGGTCTTGAGCGCCCAGTAGTCGTGGAGCCCGTCGACGGGGTAGCCCGTCGCCCTGGAGATCGCCCTCACCCTCGTCACGTTCTCCGCCGGCGCCTTCATGATGCCGTAGAAGCCCTTGGCGACGTCGATGTGGTCGAAGAACCCGCCGCGCGGGTCGAGACGCAGCAGGCCTTCCAACCACGATGCGTGCTCGCACAGGCCGTCAACGTCCATGCCGACGCGCATGTCGCTGGAGGCGTATGCCACGCCGTGGTTGCTGCCGAGGATCTTGTCGGCGTGCGGCCTCAGCGCATCCTGAGCGTTCCGACGACATCGGTGCGATACAACTGAGGAGAGATGAGGTCGGAGCGAAGAGTGGAGGGGATGCGGATGAGAGGCGGAGTGAGGAGTGAGGCGGACGGAGTGAGGAGTGAGGCGGACGGAGTGAGGCGGACGGAGTGAGGAGTGAGGAGTGATGGACGAATAAGAGTCGGGGGAGGAGGGACAAAGAGCGGAAGGTTGAGAGTGATTCCTCATATTCCATCCTCCTCCTTCCTCCTTCGTTCTACGTTTCCTCCTCTTCCTCATCCGTCTTCCTCATCCTCATCCTCATCTTCCTCTTCCTCATCCTTCTAACTGGAAGGGCGGTGTGGGTCGGCTTTTCCCCGACGTCCGTGATCGCTTCGTGCGCCTCGCCATCGCGAGGCTTCCAGTTCCGCGTGCGGCCCATAACAGGGCCAGAAAAAAAAACAACAAAAAAAAGCTCGGGCGCTGGGAGCGGCCCATGACAGGGCCGAAACCTGCGTTCGAGAGCGGTCGCGGCGAGGGGGCGATGGGAGGGAAGGGGGGATGGTCGGAGCCACAGCTCGAACGCATGGGCGAGAGTAGGGGGCAGGGGTCGGCGGTGCCAGCCAGGTGCACGACGTCGACTCGAGCTCCAAGAGTTTACGGCAGAACGGTGCAGCAGGCATTGATCCTGCTCATCTCCCACTCTTCCTCCTCACCCTTCTCGCCACCCCATCCTCCCAGGCAGCCAAGCTCGAGAGCAACGCTGGGAGGTGCTTGGACATCGTGCACGTGTTTTGCGGATCTGGTGGTATACACAATGCCGCGCTGAAGCGCGGGCTCGACACCTGGCAGTTCGGCCAGCACCTGGACCCTGGGCACGACGTCACGACGGTGGACGGCTTCCTCGTTCTGCTCGACCATTTGCTCCAGGTCACCATCCCACCCTCTACCCTCCGCCCTCCAGCCCCATGCCTCCGCCGCCCTGCACCCTGCACCCTGCACCCTCCACCTTCTACCCTCCGACACATCCCACCCTCCGCCATCCACCATCGTCTTCAGCCATCCACCCTCGACCATCTGTCCTCCACCCTCCACCTTCCACCCTCCGCCCTGTACCACCCCCTACCATCCACCATCCACCCTCCACCATCCACCCTCCACCGCCGTCCACCTTCCACCACCCCCCACGCGGTCCTCTGTCTCTCGCCCTGGGCGAGGTGCGTGAGAATGGCCTTGTGTGGGTATCTCCCGATTGTGCGAGCTGGGGCTTCGAATCTACCCACGAGGCGGAGAGAACGAGGAATTGGCGCGCCTCGACTCAAGACGTCGAAGCACGCTTGGCCATGGAACCACCGCCAGGCATCGAGGGCAAGCAGACGAACCCCGACGTGCGGCGTGGCAACAAGATTGCCAGAATCACTGCATTTATAATTCGAGTGTGCCACGCCCGCAACGTTTGGACCACGCTAGAGAACAACGGCAAGAGTTGCATGTTCGCATACCCTACCATCGCCTCCACGCTCCGAGACCTGAACTTATGCGACGGAGGCCCACTCGTGCATGTTTAGGTGCAGCGGGCAGCAAGCAACGACTGTACCCAGGATGACGATCCGAATGTGGAGTTCGTGCTGGTGGATTGTGGCTGCTGGATTATCGTGCAAGTGCGGTGTCAGACATCGACGGGTCAAAGAGGAGAGCATGGGCATTCGTCTAGAGCACTGTGGATCGCATGACTGAGAGCGCGACAATGTCTGGTCGGGCCCAGCCCCGTTGGGGCCGACGTAGTTTTCCGTCCGCCCGCGCTCGGTCATGCGAAACACGTGCTCTGAGCGAATGGCCCTGCTCTCCGTAGGAGGGCGAGTTATGGTCACCAGGCGAGAAGTATGCATTCTATTGTGCTTCGCGCTACCCCGCAGCGTTCTGCCTCCACATCGTGGACTGCTTCATCCGCTGCCGTCGCATGGACTGGCCACGAGGGATGCCGAACCTTCCGAGCGGGCACAGCGAGGCTTTCAAATCTTTACACACGCCCCCATCTATAGATGTATGTATGAACACATATGGTATCGCAGTCCCTCCTCAACCTCACTCATCACATCATACACCTCCCTCCACCGCCTCGTCACCACACCTCCCCAACCTCCACACCAATAACCGTAATGACTATCAATCAGCTGTCCGACAGATCATTCACGTGATCTACGGGGTCTGTCATTGACAGACGCGTCTGTCATATGACAGACCCGTCTGTCATATGACAGACCCGTCTGTCATATGACAGACCCGTCTGTCATATGACAGACCTGTCTGTCATATGACAGGCCCGTCTGTCATATGACATGCTGTCTGTGCGTTGCGCGGCAGACCGAGTGAGCGATACGCTGATGAAGTGCCGATTCCACCAGGCATCTCATCACGCACGCCGAGGTTCGAGTGATGGCCGCCATTGTGAGCAGCATCGCGATTCCGCAGGGGGTGCCCACTGTCAGCGAGGAGGCGCAATGCGAGATGCAGCCGATAGAGGTCGAATGGGATGGAGCTCATATCCATGACCCCTCCACCTCAGCCCACCACCCCCCCGCTCATCCGTCCCCTGCCGCCATGCCCCCCTCCCCCACACCCGCACCCATCCACCCAATCATTCTCTCACTCCCACACCTCCACGCTACAGCGTTCCTTTCCTCCTCGTCCAATCTTCTTTAGTTTTATGTGCGTTGCATGATTGCGCACCGTTCGTAGGTGCAAGCACCCACCACCCGAAAGGGCAAGGTCCGCGCGGGCAGGGCCCGCGCGGGCAAGTCAGCACCAGCGGCATCGTCGCCCGCATCATCAGCAACATCGGCGACGCAAACATCGCTGAGGAGGTGGATGAAGCCAGGGCTGCATCCCGAGCTGGCGCCTGGCTCACAGGGGGCCGCCGCCGCGCAGGAGGACTCGAGCGATGAGTCTGATGAGCGGCCGCTCGTGCCGACGCCGCTCACGGTGACGCCGATCAAGAAGCAGAAGATCAGCACCAGCCCGATCAGCTGCAACAGCAGCCCCGCTGGCGGCAAGGGCGACACGCTGGCCGACCTGACCGGCGTCCTGGCCAGTGGCGGTGCCCGCTCTGCGACAGCGTCTACAGCGTGGACCACCATGATTGCTGCGTCCAGTGCATGTGCGACCCGTCGGGCTTCCTCATCGAGAGCTCGTCGAGGGTACACACCGTCCTCCAGCATGGCTCGTTGTTCGGCGGATTTCCACGCGGGACGCGTGATGGGCAAACGATAAAAAAAACATCCTCATCCACCCCGTCTTTCTCCTCCACCCCTCTCCACCATGCTTCGCTCACACATTCCTCCAGCTCCACCGTGATCCACCCGCTCCGCCTCCCCCGATCACACTTGACCAGATAGCGCGCCACGACCACCCTGCGGGCCTGGGCCTCCCGCGCCCTCATCGTGCCTCCCCCCGCCAGGACAGCGATGTTGCCTGGCTGGTCGACGAGCCCATCCCCGTGCACGCGCCCCAGGAGCTCTAGGCCAGAAGGGAGAACGCGCGCGAGCCACATTACCATGGGAAAGGCATTCCAGGGGCCGCGACCTCCAGCATCGGGGAAACATCATGAATGGGGAGCGTGGGGCTCCAGGGGCCTGGGGCCTCCAAGGGCCCCAAGGGGCAGTTTCCGTGGCCTGGGGCCTCCAAGGGCTCCAGGGGCCTCCAAGGAATTCCATGGGCCCAGGCACCTCGCGTGGCTTGCTCACGTTCCCCCCAGCTGCGTGAACCCGTTCATCAACTTCAGGGAGCAGCCCACGGCTGCGTCGGACCCGCCCTCGGATTGATCCGACGGCCCGCGGTGGTCTCTAGGTGCATCGAGAGGCCCAACGGGCCATCGACTGCGTCGGCCGACAGCCCGCGGAGATCTCCATGGGCCTCGAGAGGCCTGAGAAGCAATCGACTGCGTCGACAGACGGCCAGCGGGGATCTCCAGGGGGCCTCGAGAGGCTTGACCATCAGTCGGCTTCACCTACATACAATTCGAATCCTTCGCTCCGAGGGCGCTGGATCCCGAGGGCCGCTTTAGCTTTTTTTGTTTCCCGAAGGGGCGGCTTCGCGCGTTTTTTTTTGTTTTTTTTGTTTTTTTGTTTTTTTTTTTGTTGATTAAACCGAAGGGGGCCTCGGGGGGCAAAAAACAGCTACCGACAGACAGATGACAGACAAATGACAGATCTGTCATTTGTCTGTCACCCCCACAAACGCACGACACATATATCAGTTTTTGAACCCCCAGAAATGACAGACATATGACAGATCTGTCAGTGTCTGTCAGGGTCAGAAAACACGGTAAAAACACAGCTAAAGTGAGTCTGTCAGTGTCTGTCATTTGTCTGTCATTTGTCTGTCAGTGTCTGTCACCTACAAGTACACAGTTTTCATGAATGTATCCGGCAGAACCACTGGTGACAGACAAATGCCGGACAAATGACAGACTAATCTGAACCTTCGGAGCGGGGGCTGAGTGTCTCGGCTGCGCGTCGGCGAGCAGCCAGATTGCTCGGTGGACGCGCGCTGGCCGCAGTTGGCGGCGCCGCGGCGGATGCGTGGTGGCTTCGCGCCACGCTTGGAAACGTTCTCTGTCAGCCCCTCTCACCTACCTCAACCTCACCCCCCACCCCTCGGGAGCCTGGTGGACCTGGTGACTTCCCGCAGGGGGCGCGAAGATGATCGCATGGCGCGCTTTGCGGTTTAGACAGGGGGGTCGCCCTCCTCGGGGGATGCGGGAGAGCGCGAAGATCATCGCGCGTCGCGCTTCTCGGTCGGGGCAGGAGGGTCGCCCTCCTCGGGGGGCGGCGGGGGAGCGCGAAGATGAGCGCGCTCGGCGCTTCGTGCAGCGCAACGCGCGAGCCTCGGCGCCCCAAGTCCGATGCCGAAGTTGCGGCACCTGGTCGTGAATCAGGGGGTCACGGGATGTCTGGGGG